AGGACGTGGAGACCTTTGTCAAGACCTGCCTCCACTGCATGGTGGTGGATGGCGTTGTGGAGCCGCGCCCATGGGGCCAGGCCCTGCACGCCAGCAAGCCCAACGAGCTCATCCACTTCGACTGGCTCCAGATGCCAGCCGATATGAACGGCTGGCAGTACCTGCTGGTCGTGAAGTACGACATGAGCGGGTACGCGCGCCTCTACCCTGGCGCCGAGGCCACGGCTCAAGCCACGGCCGCGGCCCTCCTGGACTGGTTCGGTCAGTTCGGGGTTGTGGCCACCTGGGTCAGCGACTGCGGGTCGCATGTCAAGAACCAAGTAATGGACGAGCTGCGCCGCACCCTCGGCGCACACCACCACTTCGTCACACCTCACTGCCCCTAGGCGAACGGGACAGTGGAGGTCGTGAACCGTCTAGTTCTCCGCATGGTCCGAGCCCTGTCAAGCGAGCTCAAGTTGCGGACGAACGAATGGCTGCGACCGTACCAATGGTACAGTCAGCCCTGAACCATCAGCCGGCTGATCGTCTGGGCGGAGTCCCACCGATCACGACCTTCCTGGCTCTGCCGGCCAGTACCCCGCTCCATGCTCTCTTCCACCCGCGGTTGAAGGAGCAGGCAACGGTGGGCTGGCTGGCGAAGAGCCAGCAAGGGCATCTGCGGGCGGTGGCCTCCGCCCTCGAGCGGATGCACAAGAACTGCGTGGAGAGCGCTGTGACCAAGCGCGAGAACAAGCGCAAGCAGCGCGAGAAGAAGCAGGGCGTGAAGTGCCCAAGCCTGGCCCTGGGTTACTTCGTCTTGGCGGCCCGAGTGGTCAAACACCCGAACAAGCTGTCCCTTCACTGGAAAGGGCCGTACCGAGTGGTGCAAGTCAAGTCCGACCACCTCATGGAGGTGCAGCAACTAGTGCCCCCACATGACGTCAGCCTCCACCACGCCAGCCGGCTCAAGCTGTACTCCGAAGCCGAGCGCGACGTTGCCGAGGATCTCGTCGAGCAGGTCGCCTTTGGAGACAGCGGGTTCCATGTGGAGGCCCTCGAGGACATCCGCGACAACGCCGGCCGCTTCGAAGTCAAGGTCAAGTGGCTCGGCCTGGATGAGGCTGAAGCCTCGTGGGAGCCAACGGCCGCGCTGTACGAGGACATCCCGGTGATTTTCCGCCGGTGGACCAAGTCCAACCCGAAGTTGAAGTTCATGTCGACCATGCTGGCCGATGTCGAAAAGGT